AGCCTCACAACAAATCATTGATTTTCGGAAAAGAGATGTGAACTGTGTGTGGAATGGGTCACCAGCTCTACCCTTTCAGAAGCCAGAAATAACTAAGTTTTGTTCGCGGTGTCTGCCGAAACATTGTCAATATCATGGTGGATGCGAATTCTTTGTTGTTTTTCCCTAACATTTTTAAAGTCACTGAGCAAATAAATGATGGTGTAATGAAATGTGGAAAAATAAACACAATAACTTTTCTTGCCGAAGTTTCTTTCTTGCCGAAACATTGATAGGATGTAATGATTCATAAATATTTGTAAAAAAGTATTTATGAAGAAGCCGTGTTTACCTACACAAAGTAGGTACTGCTTTTCATAGTACGTGAGCAACCCGAATTCGATTCCCTGGGCCACCACTGATTTTGTAATTAGCTGTTTCAAATGCCTATTTGCCATGTACCAAGGTAAAGGAAAGCTTAAATACTTCGAGGTTATATCAAATCCCTGACCATCAAAAGCGCTGTGAGTAATTTGATATAACTATGCGCTGACTAAAAATACTCCCAGAACTAAGACCTCCCAGCAGTGAAACAAATGAAAGATGTTGCATAAAAGATTTTTAAATATTTAATTTAAGTAACTATTCTATAACTGAAGTAGTAGTAAGTAACCTTATCGATGAATTTAGTAACTTTAGATTCGTGATGTTGATTAGGCAAATTCTTTTTCGGATCTGCAGATCTGAGCAAAGTCGGCGATGACGGCAAGTCGAGCAATGCTTGATTTTGTTTTTCGTCGGATGTGTAAAAGCAAATTTACCTACGTCATATTATAGTATCGTTAGAGATTAAGGAAGTAGTACCCGGATGACCGATGAGCTTTGCTCGGTTTTTTTTTTTTGAAATTATATTTATAAATTACATACTGATGAAACATAAATAATATATTTGATCTTATTGACAGAATAGAAAAAAATGCAAAAATGAGGGCAATTAGTTTTATTAAAAATTTCGTATTTTTAAAAAATACTAAAAAAAGGGCTTGCCTTTTCTCACAAAAAGAAGGGAACTTGAACACGAAAAACAAAAAAAAGCAAAAATAAAAAGAAAAAAAAAAAGAAGCCTTGTAGTGTGGTGAGAGCTATGGGTAGAGCCGCGAGAGAAAAAAAACTAACTTATTTATACATACTACTCAAAACGTATTATATAATATTATGTATATCTTAGTTTGTACATATACACATTTATACACATATATAAATAAACATAACATAAACACTCACGCATGTCACCCAGAGGGGTAGGCAGAGACTACGGACTTCCATTTGGCACGATCCTGACATACCTCTTTCGCCTCCTTTACATCCATATATCTACGCATACATGCTCGTCGGTTAAGGGTACTTCTAACGTGGCCCCTTTTCAAAATATCGCCAATTTGGTCGATAAACTTTTTTCTAGGGCGTCCCTTCCCGACTCGGCCGTTCACATCTGCCATATAAATTTGCTTTGTCACTCTTTCCTCATTCATTCTTTCTACATGACCAAACCACCGAAGCATTCCTTTCTTAATCCTGGTCACAACATCATCTTGCATACCACATTTATCTCTTATCACGCAATTTCTCACCCTGTCATTCAGATTCAACCCTAGCATACTCTTTAAAGACCGCATTTCTACAGCATTTATTCTACTTTCGTGCTTCTTCTGCCACACCCAGCTTTCACTACCATACATTAAAGTAGGGACTAACACAGCATTATGAATTACCATACGTGCCTTTTTTGACACATTCTGGTTCTTCACAATAGAGTGTAGTGCCCCATTCACTCTATTCTCTGCATTTACTCGTCGTTCTATATCCCTATCATATCTATCATCCCTGCTAAATACACATCCCAAATACACAAACTCATCCACTTGCTCAATTAACTCTCCTTCTATTCTTATTTCACGTGCCGTTTTGCTTTCTTCTCTTTCAAAAACCATCACTTTCGTCTTACTTGCGTTCACTTTCATTCCCCTTTCTTTTAATTCCCAGTTCATTAATGTAACCATCATTTGCAACTCAGCCGCCGATGACGCAAATATGACTTGATCATCGGCATACAAAAGGCATTTGACGGTTAACTCGCCCATTCTTAACCCACATTCTTCATCTTTCAAAGTTTGCAAACACACACACACACACACACACACACATATATATATATATATATATATATATATATATATATATATTAAAATAAAATATATACTAAACCAATAAAGCATACAATATAGTATACGAAATTATAATAAACATAATCAATAAAATTAATCAAGTAATTTTAAATAATATGCCTCAAGCTTACGGATATTACGTAGCTTTCGCTTCCTATCTCTTTTTACTGTTCTGTCTTTTTATTGCTAATAGAAAGAAACATTTTTAACAAAGGTAAAAAATTCGAATGTACTAATATTTTTTAAATAAATGCGTCAAAAATACAAATAGCAATAATATCATCGAAAGTAGGTTATGGTGTGTATTTATATTATTCACACACTTAAGTTTAACCAAACATCAAGTTGGTTGTAAGTAGTTGTATCCGGCTAAAACTCGGTGCAAGCGGCTTGTCTCAGCTTTCAACTTTGTACAAATTGGATTGTAGAAACAACATAAGAATTTAAGGGAAACATGGTCTTAAATTAAGACTAGAAATTAGTTGATTAATTCTAAAAGATCGACAATCATTCCTACCAAAGTTCTAAGCCAAAAAGAAATTAAGCCGCGTAGGCTTAATTTGGAAATATGTTTTGGTTATTCTAAGCTTTGAGCAGTTTAAATAGAATTTAAGCGAGACCCAGAACCCTGATATGTAAATATAAGAGAGAGCTTAAACCACCACTGGGCTTAGGTACGTTGAGAACTAAACCGTAAAGTTTCGTTGTAGGAATATTTACTAGTCCATATCGTCCCGTGGGTGTCGTAAGATGACGTAAGATGACAGAGCGAAACAAACCAAAGAGTTGGGCAGCAGCGTCTTTTTAATGGGTGCGTTTGGCAGAAAAAAGCGCTAGCAAGCGCTTGTAAGCAAAATGGCGAAACTAAACAGTTTTCGGCCAGGACACGTTTGCTAACTTCAGTAGCGCTGACTCAATCCGCCATTTTGCTTATTTAATTTGTTTGTTTTGAAGTAGAGTTTATAATTTGTTTTGTGCAATATTAGTTTATATTAAGTAATATAATGACATGAATAAACATACCTATAAAAACATGTTCCCCCGTGCCCCTTCCAACCACCCACCCAAATATACAAAAAAAAAAAAAAGGAATAGGGAGTAACGAGAACGCCTCTTTTATTTGACTGCCTCGTTGGTCTAGTGGTTGTAGTAGTGCGACTGCTGATCATGATGTCCTGGGTTCGAATCCCTGGTCGGACCGAAAAATCAATTATTGAGTTTTCTGTCAAGAAATTCTCAGTAGCTACCCGGAGTCAGAAAGTTGGCGGTGTCTCACCCCCGTGCCTCGGAAAGCACGTAAAGCCGTTGGTTTTGTTCCTGATCTCTCTCCCGGTCGTGTCGGTTTACCGTCCCATCGGATTACGAGAGTGAGGTAATAGAGAGTGCACCTGTGCTTACGCATACACTTGGGCACTATAATCCTGTCCTGCGCCGATGGCTAGCCTCCGTTGAGGCAGGCCGCCATGGTCAAAATTCGGTCTTGAGGACATAACGAGAACGGGAGACCCTTCTTACACCCGGACCCTGTTGACCTTTGTTAACGAGGCATTTCATCTATGTCGTCACGGGTAAGATACAGGTGTCCTACAGCTGCCTACCGTCGGTTGCATTGTATCCTCGTTTGTCATTCTTACTACCATATAAAAACCCGCTACTCCAGCACGACAACTACAATTAATTCCAAGCAAAGAAAGCTACAAGGGCGTTGTAATTTTGCGTGCGTTAAAAAAATCCGTTTTAGGCATGTCGTCAATCACTAACATATTTGTAAATAAATAGTGACGTTACTGGATAACAGAAGCCGCTTATTACAATATATTTTGTCTTTCTTCTAGAAAAATCTACTAGAAATAATAAAATTAAAAGATTATTTGGTAAATATACATTATTCTTACGATAATAAACCGTTCAGATTTTGCTCCATATCGTGACCTACATTACCTTAATGCACAACCGGGCAAATTTTCTTTAAAAATATTTTTTTTTAATTTTTGAAACGAATGCGTCTTGACCTTCTGACGATGATAGTGACAAAAATCGGAGATATATCCTCTAGGACAAAAGTTACAGACGACAATTTTGTTCCTGATGTCCGGTCTATTACTACAGTGCCGTCTTTAGGATCAACGAGGCTATGGGCCAAGGTACTGGCTGGGGCCTATGTAAGGGATGGAAAATCCTTAAATTTTAACTTTATCATTTTTCAGTTTACAATAACGCAATAGGCTAAATCGTAACCCCGTCTCTTAACACCCCACATATGAGAGTTCAATAAATAAATTTTTTGAATCTAAAAAACTAATACCCCACCAATTCTAATTTAAATAAAATTGAATGAAAACCATATATTATAATCTATACAAAGAACAATACTTATATTTATTCATATACAAATATATGAAAGTGACGTCATCCGTGACATCATAGCCTATAACAGCATTGGTTAGCGAGCCACTGCATACCAAGTCTATAACTACAGCGCGATGCTGCGCCGAATCTTGTTTAATAAACAAGGGCTATCGGTTTTTCTTCGAGGAAGTGCCGTAAACTGTCCCCGCTGTATTAGATCGGACTACAATATTTCGTCGTTCCGGATCGACCTCAGTTCTCAATGGCTTCTCAAACGAACACTTGGCATTTCAACTTATTTCTTAATTCATTTTTACTTTACAATTAACTTATTTGCTTTGTTTTAAATACCCGTAATTTTAGCCATGCATACATTTAATTTCTTACAATTTACAATTTTCGTATATTTTAATTTCTTTAAACAAACGATTAAATGTAATGTTTATAATGCCATGTAAACGTTTTCTCAATTACAATATTCAAACTAACGCGCCAAAATCTTCATTCGGATTCTTACGCATGCGCGCTCTTGCGCGCAAGCAGAAGCGCGATTGTTTTGAAAGAAACTTGTTTAAGCTTGCTTTTGTTTTTGGTGAGAAAATGAATAGTCAACGTCCGTGTTTCGACACGTGAAACAGCCAGCAGGTTCATTAGTTCATTACCAGATTTTCACGCGATGTAGCAACAGTTAATTTAGTATTGTTTATCGAATCATTTGAAGTACATCAAAATCATGAATCGTGTTTATGAAAGTGGTGCTGCAAAAAAACGAAAAGCGAAAGAAGAACAAAAGAAAATAGACAAGTTACCAAAAATTACTGGATTTTTAAAACAACATGACATTACTAGTAAGTAATACTATATATTATTTGAATTAAGAGTGATTAGTTCATTAATTGAGTCCTATAACCTCATTGTTGTTCGCATGTAGCAAAAGTTTTTTTATGAAAAGTCGATTTAATATCATTTTTATGAAATTAATTTATGAAACAAACCGTGCTAACAGTATGATAATAAGATCATTGCATTTTATTTATTAGGCAAAAATGATGAAACGCCAAAAGGTACCGCTGATTTACAGGAAAATGTTATTCAAAACGAATCAGTCGATTTGAATCCTTCAGAACAGTCGGAATTATCAGTAGCTACACAAGTTCTTATAAATCATAGAACAGAAGGTAAATAAAGAGTTTCAAATTGTAAATATTTAGATTCTAAAAAAGCTGAATAATTTTAAATATTTTTTTTCAATTAAAAGCGATTTACAAAAATATATTTTATTTTAATAGAGGAGGCAGCATTGAGAAGCACGTCAGAAAAAAATTGAAAGTTATTCGACTGATATTGCGTTATGGGGCGAAATCAACGAGAAGTTACGATTATACTGGTTGCAAAAAAATCCAGGTTTATGCAGCAATAAGGATAAAGATTTCTCAAAATCTGCACGGATTTACCAAGAAGGAGATAAACAAAAAGTGAGAACTCTAAACAAATCATTATTTCAATTGAAACTACAAAATAATGAAATAGTAGAGCGTGAGTGGTTATCGTATTCGCCATCAACTGGACGTATATATTGCTTTGTATGTCGACTTTTTTCATCTGAAAAAAGATCAATTTACATTTTACGGATTTAATGATTGGAAACACCCAGAGCGAATTACGGAGCATGAGCAAAGCAAAGCTCATAAACAAACTTTAACTATTTATTCTAAACGGAGAAGAGAAACTGGTAGTTTAAAAAATGCATTAACGATTCAACAAAAAAATGAGAAAAATTATTGGATTCAAGTATTACGTCGAATAACTGACACTATAAAGTTTCTTGCTTCACGAGGTCTCGCTTTTCGAGGGGAGAACGAACGATTCGGATCTAGTCAAAATGGCAATTACTTAGGTATTTTAGAATTACTGAGCGAATATGACCCTTTCCTTAAAGAGCACATTAATACCTACGGAAATAAAGGACATGGAGTAACATCATACTTATCAGCTAATATTTGTGAGGAATTTATAGGCCTTATGGGGGAAAAAGTTCTTGCTTGCATTATAAGTGAGTTGAAGAAGGCAAAATATTATTCTTTTTCTGTGGATTCTACGCCGGACATCACTCATCTAGATCAATTAACGTTCACCGTGCGCTACGTTACCGATCAGGGGCCTATCGAACGTTTTTTAATGTTCGTTCCTATAGAAGGTCATAATGCCGAATATTTAACAGAGGTTGTAGTCAAATTTTTTAAAGATAATGATATTGATATAAATGACTGTAGAGGTCAATCTTATGACAACGCATCGAATATGTCTGGACGCTATTCAGGACTGCAAACCAGGATAAGGGAAATCAATAAGTATGCTGATTATATTCCTTGTGCCGGGCACTCGTTAAATTTAGTCGGCGTTAAGGCAGCTGAATGTGTTAATGCAGTCGTTAAGTATTTCTATATCGTACAAAATTTGTACACATTTTTATCAGGATCGACTTATAGATGGCAAAAACTATTGTCATATTTAGGAACGAAAAAAAAAGTCGTTAAATCTTTATCCGCTACTCGATGGTCAGCCCGAGCTGATGCAATCATCGCTCTTTTCACAGGTCATACAGATATTACGAAAGCTCTAGATGATTTATCAAAGGATGATACGCAGTCTAACGAGACTAGACTTGAAGCTAAGACCATTTTAAAGCAAATTACAAAATTTGAAAATGTCTTTATAACTGTGGTATGGCACGAAATCTTGACACGTATTAATGATACATCTAAAAATTTACAAAAAAGAAAATATGGATTTGTATATAGCATGCAGTCTTTTAAATTCCTTAGAATTGTATTTATTGGATATCAGGGATAAATTCGATGAGTTTTTAGAAAAAGCAAAAAGCTTTACTGATATCTGCGAAAGTGAATCTACATCTGAGCCAAGAAATCGAAGAAGAAGCGTAAAACTTACTCGCTTTGAAGGAGAGAGTGAACATACACAATTTACTGGAGATGAAAAGCTCAAAATAGAGATTTTTTATCCGATAATCGATTCACTTTGTTCCAATTTGAAAACCAGAAAAACTGCTTACGAAACGGTGAATGATAACTTCAAGTTTTTTACTGCTCTACCAAACATGACATACGAAGGAATAAAAGAATGCTGCGAAAAGCTTGCCAGAAAATATGATCAAGACATTTCTGCAGAAAATTTAATATCAGAATGTTTACATTATAAACATTATCTTCGTGATACACGAAAGAACGAAGAATTATTTATTCCTGATCTATACTTGCAACTGAAGAAAGAATTTCTGACGTCTACATTCCCAAATATTGAAATAAGTCTCCGAATATTCCTTACCCTAATGATCACCAATTGTGCTGGTGAACGATCATTTTCTAGATTAAAGTTGATAAAATCCGATCATCGAAGCACAATGTCACAGTCACGATTGAATCATCTAAGTTTAATGAGTATAGAATCGGACTTATTAAAATCGATTGATTTTGATGAACTCATATCTAATTTTGCTGCGAAGAAATCGAGAAAAAAAGTTTTTTAAGCTGTATATAATTACTGTTATTTTAGTGCAAAAATAAATTTTTAAACAAATTTTCTAAATCTTGTTTCTATTTTACCAAGTGTGTGATTTGATATTTTTCTTATTATGTTATAAAATTTGTTGTTGTATATCGAAAATTTTCAGAATTGTGGGGCCCCTGCCTACCTCGGGGCCTCGGGCCGGGCCCTGCGGGCCCTGCCTTAAAGACGGCACTGTATTACTACTACTGTCTTTGTTGGATTCACTCATTTTGGCGGACAGAAAAACGATTGAAAAATGGCGGGAAAGTGACTATTACTTTCCATTTTTTTCATAACGTCCTATATGTATTGATATTAAAACCAGCTTGATAACAATACAACCAAAGATAGTCGTAATGTATAATGACGTAAAGTTTTTACTGCGGTAGAACAGGAGTTTGCCTGATCACTATATGCATATTATATCATCATATAACATCAAAAGATTCGAAGAGAAAATAGAAAAGGAAATAGATAAATCAAGTTCAGAACAAATGTAAGCTAATATTAAAAATACTTTTTTATAAGCCCACTTTCGTTCACTGCTGAACTTGAGCCTCTCCCACTTTAGGGAGGATTTGCCACAATCCAATACCAGCAAATCTAGTACGAGGACGGCACTGAAAATTTCGGGAATCAAGGAAGTGACACAACATTACTATTTAAAAATGTAATTATTGTTTTTCGAAGTATTCTCCGCGAAGTTTGACACATTTTTCCATACGATGGAACCAATCATTGAAGCAACCATTCCATTCGAAGTTGGGGTCTCCAAAATCGCCGTTTTGGGCCACTTCAGGTGATGAAAATCTCTGTCCACGCAATTTATTTTTTATTTAAGGGAAAGTATAGAAATCATTAGGGCTTAGGTCGAGGCTGTACAGCGGATGGTCTAATAATTCTGTTTTCTTGCTCTAAAAACTCTTTTGTTCTGTGTGCGGTGTGAGAACTCGCATTGTCGTAATGGAGGATGATGCGGCGGTTGCAGTTCTCTTTACGGAGTTCAGAAACGACCTGTGGTAAACAAATGCTAGCATACCATTCTGCATTAACACTTCTTTGTCTCTCAAGAGGAATAGTCGTAACATGGCCGGTTTTGGAGACAAACGTGGCCACCATTTTTTTTGCAACACTCCGTAAACGTACAATTTTTGTTGGCTTTAACTCATTATCGAACACCCAAACTCGTGACAGGTTTTTTGTTTCGGGTTCGTACGCATATATCCGGGATTCGTCACCTGATACGATGTTGTATACAGCATTTGAGGAGCCTGCGTGGAATCTTTCAAGAGTACTGACGCACCAAGTAACGCGAGCCGCTTTTTGCTCTTCACAGAGCGAATGCGGTATCCATCGGGAAAACAACTTTTTTACACCTAATTGTTCATGCAAGATTATTTGTATTTGACTCATGCCAATGTCTAAAGTTGCCTGAATTTTGCAGTATGTCACATGTCGATCTTGCTCAATCAGCTTACGCACAGCATCAACCTTTTTTTGGGTGACTGCAGTTTGTAGACGACCTTGACGGGGATCATCACTGAGCTTGATACCTCCACGTTAAAATTCAGCAAACCAGCAATAAATTGTGGTTTTGGATGGGGCTTCATCACCAAATGCAGAAATCATCCGGTCAACACACTGTTTTTGTGTTAAACCACTTCGAAAGTCATAATAAATCATCGCTCTTAAATTTTCTCGAGTCAATTCCATTTTCTCAACGACTAAACAAGTTTGACAAAACCTTGTGACAAGACCGAGAATCTTTTTTTTAAATAAATAAATGGTATTCGATTTTTAAAACCAAGGAGTTTTCAATAAAAAAGATTTTAATATGACAGGATCAGTGGAAATATTCCATTCCCGATACTTTTAGTGCAGCTTCTGTATCGTTGACTAGTTACTGGTTACACGCTTTACCATCAAGTAATCTTAGCACTAACTTGATGAGGAAAGCTTGCGCATCGCCGTAGGAATCCGACTAGGAGCGGCGATTTATCAACATCCTCATCATGCCACGCATGAGTTTGAGCCCCACGGATTTTCATGTAAAAAAAGTGCTGGTAGGTGTTCCCTTGTTTTTTGAACGATGTCATCTGAAAAGCTCTTGTCTACAAATTTTCCCTCGGTTTTAGAGTCTTGTGGAATATTTAGACGATGGGAAGAGACCCTACGGTATAACATTGGTACCTTAGGAGAAAGATAAAGTCCTAGTTGTGTGTGTTGGATTCTAATTGCGTAGACACTTTGGCAGCCTTTGGTAAAGAATATCGGTCCGTGGAGTCGTGCGGTGAAGTTTCTAAAGGAACTGTATCTGCGACTCTTCATCGCTGTTCGTGATAAGAGGGCTGGTTCTTTTCCCTTTCAAATGCTACGTACGAGTCGTATAGCTATTTAGTGAGGAAACGCAGCCAGCGTTCTTGGCACGATAACACTAGAAATCGGACTAGATGATAATTTAAGTTTTTAGTGTTAGTTTTTTTTACTATAAGTAGTTTTTTAATATTGTTTATATTTCAATGTGACGCAAATAATTATACTTACTTTTAAAAAATACATAATTGACAATACCCCCGGGGAATGAGGTGGTCACTACCATGCTGTTTCTAAATATCCTATACCTTTAAACAAGCAATTCTTGTATATATATATATATATATATATATATAATCGGAATCTCGGAAACGGCTCCAACGATTTTCATAAAAAGGGAGTTTCGGGGGCAATAAATCGATCTAGCTAGGATTTATTTTTAGAAAATGTCCTTTTGTCCGTGTTTTCAGGCAATAAAAAAACTGCTACAATATAAGAAGGAAGAATTTTGTCAGATCACTAACGATCCTAATAGCTCAGGTGGGATGTCGGTCGGGCGTGATATCGGAGTTCCGTGGATCGCATTTTTACTTTTTTTTCAAGTTCCCATCTTTTGTGAGAAAATCTATTATTGCAAGCCCCTTTTTTAGTATTTATTAATAATAAAAATACGAAAATTTTAATAAAACTAATTGCACTCATGATTTTTTTATTCAAATAACCAGTTCAGTTCTTTCTATTCTGTCAATAAGATCAAAAAATATTATTTATGTTTCATCAGTATGTAATTTATAAATGTAATTTCAAAAAAAAAACCGGTCATCCGGGTACTTTCAATATTGAATTGTGCAACATATTACATAATAAATTGTAAATTAATATTTAAAAAAAAAGTAGCGCTGAATTTCTTGCTGGTTATTCCCAGGTATTATCCGAACCAATGGTAATAGCATAAATGACTTTTAATGAGTATTTATGCAAATCTATATGGAATAAAAGTCTTTCAATTCAATCTACTCTATTCTTGAAAAGTCCGTGGAACCCAATTCGTTGACGCCGCTATAACAAGGCATAGTCGGATTCCACAGCTTTGTCACAGTTTAGGAGACAAGTTACACTGTAGGTACTATGTATTACAAGTTTTCGCCGTCAAGTAGTAAGTAATTTTCCAAGGTTACATGAAGATAAAGCATGTAACTAGTGACTAGATTGCTTTAGAAGCCCGTCTTGCTTGATCTTTGTAATTAGAACAATTACCTATGAAATAAATTTTTCTGAATACTCCGTACTAACGCATGTGCCACTTTTTCCTGTTGTTGTTGACAGCAAAATGCTAGTACTATGATACCCATACCCATGATATACATATACAAATGGCAGTGGGTTCACTAATGCCGCCATTACACGGTAAATAAAAATAAAAATTGTATAATATTTATTTTGAATGATAACATTCTTCCTTTCTTTTCTTTTTCTTTAACGACCGTAATCTTCAGTTGAACAAAGGTCTTTTCTAGATTACGCCAATTGCATACGCATACTTAAAAGTTTCTATACGAACCACTTCAAACACATGACCTCGTCTCGTAATGGTAATGAAATTGCTTCCTATCTCCAGTCCGCGGGTATTTTGGTTTGGTATTTTCGAATAACTCCAGAGCCGTGTGAATTAACTAGGCATACTTTACCACGCGCAAGTGAATTTGGTATTTGGATAAGTTGTTAGCCACCGAGAACGTGGGAAATCACTATTTAAATAGTTTAACGTCTGAGGGTTCCTCGTTTTATCGAGCTTCACTTTACATCCTAGAATAACTGGTTGCCCCTTAGAACTTAGGGGTTTCTGCCTTCAGTGGAGAAAAAATATCCCTGCGTTACAAGCAAGAAAATCGTGCAGTTATTGATCGTTTTCGCACTAATTTTATTCTTCTCGATCGATCAAAGCTATCAATAATACAAAGAAATGTGCGTAC